GGCATCGTGCCGGCAGTCTCCACCGAAATGGGTAAGTCTCGTAGCCGATCGTGTGGATGCCCAGCTCGTACGTTGTCAGCTGGTGGATTATCTTACTCTCCCGGATGGTCACCCTCTCCCTGTTGTTCACCTTCCAGTTGCTATTGTTGTACACGGTGTGCGCGCCGCCAATGGCGTCGCCGCGCTCGGGCCGACCCCCTCCTCCTTGTTATGGTTTTCCTCCTTTGTCTGCTTCATCTCCTCCTGTTTCCCATCATCCTGCTCATGATATTCATCCACTCCTGGGGCAGACAGGAAAACATGACTGTACAGTTGGAGCCGAGCACCGCGCCGACTGGAGACGTTCTGCAAGCTTCATTTGCCATTCCCGAATAAGCGTGATGTTCAACAGATTGCGCTCGTGACCACCAGCGTGACGGGGGCGCCTTGGCCTTGGGGTCGTCTGTATGGCTCATGGTCCGCTACGGATGGAAAGCGATCTCGATGCACCGATGGAGTTGGCATTCTGTCGCACATGTGGCGCCTGCTGCAGTTGTCACAGCACTGGCCAATTATCGAACGAAGCAGTTCAGGACCCTGCCCAGTTGGAATATTAAACTGCCGCCGCTGACCCCCCAAGAACTCATGTTGGACTCGAGGCCTTCGGAGCTCGAGATCCACTGTTAGACGGGCTCCACCCCCGCAACACTTGCTTCGGTATGCGGGCCCCTTAGGTGATCGCCAAATTTATCACTGGAGATCCTGGAGACTCCACGTGTCTGGAGGCGTTCACGCTAAAGCTGAACGACTACGCCTGTGTGTTGAATTCTGCTGGGCCTCAGACACCCCGGAGCTGTCGCGCCGGCATGTTAGTCATATTATGTATAACGCTGCCGACTTGCATTGTATTGCGGCACACGTCTGGAAATGCGGCTGTCCACATTGCAGATATCCCTTTGACCCGTACTGTTCAAAAGTCACGGGATCAGCTATGCCCGCCTATGCTCGATCTGTGGGATCTGATCTGGGACCCCACCGATCGTAAGGGCCCTGGACGGGCCCAAGCGTTTGGGACTAGTCGAACTCGTGGGAAGAACCCACCGCTAGGCAGGATGAGCTCCTCCTCGTCCTGAAACTGGTACGCCGACAGCGGGTCGCGGGGATGTGCGGCCGAGAAGGGTGCGGCCCCCGGGGTCCCGTGGTGGAGCAGGCCCACCAGCTGGACGATCGGGCCGCCTGCCGTGCCGCGACGGGCGTGCGGGCGGCGGAGACCCCCACACGCGAGCGGCCGCCACGAGAGCTCGACACCCGCCGCCCCAGCCCCCCAGGCTCGCTTGTTGCCTCGCCGCCCGACCTGGGCTCGCCCCAATGGAGCGGCGGTCGCTCTCAAGGGAACGAGCAATGACATAAACGTGAAAACTCGGAGGTCCGCGCGGACCTCTCGGATCCGAGAAGTCCGCGCGGACCTCCGAATTCCTGTGTGTATGTCACTGCTCGTTCCCCTGCCAGTGGAGCTGCGGTCCGCTCTGCCTGCAGAGGGGGGGGGGCCTGCGCTGCCAGGTCTCGTGCGAGCGGGAGCTCGCTCCCAAAGGGCCCCCCCGTGCGAGCTCTCAACCTGGGTCGTCTGCGCCGGCGAGCACGCGGGGCGCGCACGGGGGGCGGCCAGGAGGGCGTGGGGCTTCTCGGAGGGCGGGGGGGCTCCTTGGAAGCGCGTGCAAGCTTCTCAGACTAGGCTACCAGCCTCGAACGTATCCCTATCCCTAAGATTGACACACCAAAAGGCGATGACAATCTTAGGGATTCGCCCTCAAAAAAATTATGGAATCGCTAAGATTGGCATCGTGATGAGGAGGTGCCCAGCATAGGGATAGAGATATGTTCCAGGCTGGTAACTAGGGGAACGAATAATGGCACGAACGTAGAAACTCGGAGGTCCGCGCGGACATCTCGGATCCGCGCTGACCCCCCTGGCGGCACCTCCGGCGCCGCCCCTGGACGCCTGCCTACAGAGGAGGCCCTCCCCACCCTCCCAGAGGGCCGACCTCCCAGCGTCAGCCCCATGCGAGGAACGCCGCCAAGTCGTCTGGAGGCAGGCGTGTGTGCAGCTGCGGGGGTCTGCGGTGAGTCACGCGCTACAACCGACGCGCTGCCAACGATCACATGACGAGCGCAAGCAGATGGGTCCTGGTTGTACGTGCGCACTGCGGCAGGTGCAACACTGTCAATGCCCAGGCCTTGCCGAAACCATGCCCGCCCCGACCCTCTAGACCAGGCTTGGAGGTACATCATCATCAGCAGCATCATCAACAACAAGAAAATCATCATCACCACTATCATCATCATCAGCATCATCATCATCATCATCATCATCATCATCATCATCATCATCATCATCATCATCAGCATCAGCATCAGCATCAGCATCAGCATCAGCATCAGCATCAGCATCATCATAATGATCACCATCATCATCACCATCATTACCATCACCATAATCATCACTTACATCGTCGTGAGCAGCGTTATCATCATCATCATCATCAGCAGCATCAAAGTAATCAGCATTATCATATTCAACAACAGCATCGTGATCATCAGCACCACCATCATTATTAACATCATCCTCATCATCAGTCTCATCATCATCCTCATCCTCATCATCATGATGATCATAACCATCGTCAACAACAACAGCAGCATAACCAACACCATCAATTTCAGCATCAACGGTATCGTTATCATCACCATCATCGTCCTCACCATCGCCATCATCACCATCACCACCATCAGTATCATCATCCCCAGCACCATCATCATCAGCATTGCATCATGATCGGCGTCATCATCAACGTCATCAGCATCAACATAATCATCATCAGTAGTAGCATCATCGGCATCATGATCAGAATCGCCACCATCGCCACTCATCGCCAGATTTATCATCGCCAGATTCATTAACGCATGTAGTGGTATAGTCAGGGGCTGCCTGACCTCTGAGCCCTAGGAGGCGCATCGGACCCCCTAGGGAAATGGTAATTGCTCAGGGCGGACGCTATTGTCGCCCTCACAGCGCACTGATTACCTGGAGCGCGAAACTACACAGGGCAGGCCAGGTGGGACGTATTGTCCCCTACCGGCACAATGATGCTACATAGGAAGTGTAGTTCACAAGAGTAAACTTGTGCAACCATTTGCTCCTTTTGTGAAATGTTCACAAGGCCTGTTGGAGCCGCCGCGGCCTATGCTTCACAAGAGCGCACCTTGTGAAATGTTGCCTAGCCACGCCGCAGAGAGAAAGGAGACAAAGATGGTCCCCGCCTCAAGACAAAATGTCAACGAGGACTATACAAAGGGTCAGCTGAAAAGACGAAAAAAGGTGATCCCTAACTGCACAAGGAAGTTCGAAAGGCATGCAAGTCAGTAGACGAGCGTGTTGACGTCGATTTGCGCATCACGAATTCGTTGCCGATGACACCGCCGGAGAACATAATACTACAGAGCAGACCTGAGCAGCGCAAGCCTGGGACACGATCCACAGACCAGGGTTTCTCAGTGGGTCTCTCACCCCCGCACTGAGATGGTCTACGCCCTCAGTGGGTCTCTCACCCCCGCACTGAGACGTCCGCCAGGCCTCGAAACCTGGAGCGCCGAAACGCCGAGTCCATCCAGACAGACGTGAACCTTGGCCCTGGTGCCAACGAGTGCACTGCAACATCCACACAATAGCGTCAAGCTCACCAGAAGCAAACACCAGCGGTCCCAGCGCGGTGGCTGGGTCGGCACCGACCGTGAATCAGCATCTCCCTCATGTCCCCCAGTCAAGAGGGTCTGTAGACGCGACCGTAATGCCTGCGTGACCTCTCACATCCGCAGACATAGCCGATCGCCCCGGCCGCATGAGGTACACGGCGTAGGGGGGTAAGGCGCTCTCACCGCCCGCCCCCCGATTCCTTAACGCATGCATTTCCGTACTGTTCATGTCTGGCCAAAGCATCATCATGGTCGTCGCCATCATCACAATCAACATCATAATCATCAGCAGCAGCAGCGTCATCATCATCATCATCATCATCATCATCATCATCATCATCATCATCATCATCAGCATCATCATCATTATCATCATCATAATCGTCGTCATCATCCTAATCAACATCAGCGTCGTTCTCGTCAGCATCATCACCATCAGCAGCAGCCGCATTATCAATATCAGTATCATCATCATCATCATCATCATCATCATCATCATCATCATCATCATCATCATCATCATCATCATCATCATCATCATCATCATCATCATCATCATCATCATAACTATCACTATCATCATCATCAGCATCAGCATCAGCATCATCATCATCATCAACATCGGCATCATCATCTGAAGCCTGACTATGATCCTGCTCATCCTCCTGCTACTCTCGCGTGTCTCCTCTTATTAATGCTGCTGCTGTTGATGCGACCGGCCTACTGGCTGGCGCAGACCACACATCAGGAGAGGGGAGACTGAAACCACGGAGAGGAAGGAGAGTGAGTAGAAGGGAAAGGATGGGGAAGCACGGGGAAGGAGGGGGAAGGAGGAGGAAGGAGGAGGGAGGGGGCGACAATTTCGACTGATTTGCAAATGTTCCCGAAAATACCTGAAGATTTCTACCAGTTTTCTAAGTTTTCCGAGGGGGGGTCAAGAGCCACCTGGACGGCGGTGCAAGAGGAGGAGAAGGGCGAGGATGGGCAGCAGGAGGATGCGCAGGAGGACGACGAGGACGAGGAGACCGAGGAGCCAGAGGACGGAGAGGACCGTGAGCTGCAGGAGCACCAGGGGGCCCTGGGAGGAAAAGCGAGGGAGCAGGTGCACGCGATGGGAAGGAAGCATGATCGGCGGGCAGGCGCGGGAGCGGGTGCGGGTGCAGGGGCGGGTGCAGAAGCAGGGAGCCAGGACGAAGGCGAGCGCAGCGGAGCCGGGGGATCGGGCCGAGCGCAACCTGGCGAGCCCCTCGCGGCCCCGCGGGCGGAGGCGCTCGGGGGTGACCGTGATGTGGGGCGGCATGGTCAGCAGGCCTGCCCCCCCCACGCCCGCGGCGGCACGCCGCGCGCGGCGTGCATGCCACGACTGGTGCCAGCCCTCCAGGGGCGGCGAGATCTCCCCATCCGTACACCGCCGCTGGCCAGGCACGCCCCCGCGCGTCCTGGCCTCCCGCCTCCGCGTCCGTCGCCGTCTTCTCGCGGCTCGCTTCGCCTCCCTCTCCTCAGTCGGGCCGCACTTACAGCGGGTCGGCTCCTCTGGGCAGCCCTCGCTCCTCCTCTCCTCCTCGAGGCCGCCAGAACTGAGCCGCACGCAGCTCGCTGGCACCGTTCTGGGCGACCTGGACCGCACCCTTCTTAAGCCGCCTTGGAGTCATTTGGGAGTTCCTGCTGGGCCGCTCTGGACGCTGAATGAAGACCGAGCAGGCAACCTTACGCGGTGTCCCGCGCCGACTGCCACCGCGGCGCGCTACATTGGAAACGTGGGCGCTCATACGCCATCTTACGCAGTCACCTTACGCGCCAGTGTCTGCACAGTCGACCCCGGCTTGTTCCGTCGCTCACGTGGCGGGTTTCGGAAACCCTAACCCCAAAAAATGCCACCTCTTGCGGGCACATATTTTACTTCCGCCGCCTTCCGCTGGCCTTCCGCCGGCTTCCGCTGGCGGAGCCGGCCCCGTTTTGCTTCCGCCGGCTTCGGCCGCCCTTCCGCCGCATTCCGCCGAGGAAACGAAGACAATTCCTGGGATCCTCGAAAGCAAGGCCATATCTGGAACGCCGCATGTGCAGATCTCGTCGCCCGAACTCTGGGCGAATGGGGAGAGCAAAAAGAATACCGACACCGCTACTCCCCAAACCTCTCCAGGGATGCGTTCGGGCCAGAATCTCGAGGCCGACCCAGCAGTGGCGATGACGGCCGCCCAGGAGGCCCAGAAGGCGAAAGCGGGGCGAGAGCAGCGGTATGGGTCCTATCCCATCCTCTGGCAGAGGTGCGCGGTCAAGGCGCGGAGGTGGTGGTCGCAGGCGCAGCGAGGACAGCGGCGCGCAAAGGCATGACGAGCTCGGGGGCTGGGCGGCGGGGAGGCACGCGGAGCCCGGACACCGTGACGTCGATGTGGAGCAGAATCGCCACCGCGTGCGCTTGATGCGCCAAAGTTTTCCACCACCGCTGCCACAGGTGGGACGGGGGAGGAAGGGAGGGTGGGGAGGTCCTCCTCCTCCTCCTCCTCGCACGTAGCTCGGAATGAAGGTCGATTAATCCTCTGCTTCAGATTGTTGGAGCAATTGACCGCGAGCAGTTCGCGCGCACTCAGCGATCGGGGTGGCGATCGCAGCCTTCTTCTTCACATTATACAGTGTGGTATGCGATTACAACTCTCTGGATCGCAAGCTTGCGCCGATCTTCTGTCATCATCGCCGCCAAAGCAAGTCTGCGATCAAGGAAGGGTTCGATCGGGCCATTGGGTCTCAAGACCTGTAGCACAGCCGTCCAGAGCTCAGGACAACTAAGGTAGTGACCTTGTGAGTCCAGAAGTTGCATGGGCAGTCTCTTTGTGACAGCGGCGTTCCGTCGTCCACCCACCCACCAGAGTCCTCATCATTGAGATCTGCCATGCTGGGGGCATTAGAACAAGGACCTCTCTCAGCTTTGGCCAACTCAGGGCCGCGAGAGCGCGCGCAGACGGGGGCCGCGAGGCCCACCTAGAGATGCGCTTAGCAATCGTGCCCCCCAAAGAGTCGACCAGGAGAGCTTCTTCCAAGCCACGAGCAATCGTCCTCTGGATGGGCGCCCCAGGAGAGATTTTGCGGGCATCAGTGAGAGCTTGGCGAGCACGCAGAACATGTTGGCGCAGGCGCGGACAGGCGGGAAACGACTGGATGGCGCCGAACAATTCCTGTGCGAACGGGCGAGCAAGCCAGTGAGACGCCGACCAATTATTCGCTGCCCAGATAATCATTGGCAAATGCTGCTGGCACTGCTGCTTCGGGCGAGACCATAACGGGCGCCAGTTGGTGACTGTCGAGAGCGCAGACAGACTGAGCGCAGCAGCGCACGAGATGCGCAAGGATTGAGGGCGGACGCGAGACCATGAGCGGAGCGAGAGCAGAGCGGCGAGAGGAAACGAAAAAAAGTGGGAGATGCAGCGCGCGGTGCAAGGCCCAGCTTTCCCACTTAGAGATGGATTTCGGCATTGGCGAGGGCTGAGCAAGATGAGGAAACTTCGAGACCGCGCGAGAATTATACAGAGTAATCGCAACTGTGGGGTGGGTGGGTGGGTGGGGGGGGGGACGGCCTTGGTCACAGCTAGATCATGCATGGCACCACGCCACTCACGAAACGCCCTCGCCCACATCACGTCTCTCGAAGCTGCTGGGCCGATCCACACCCCTAGATATTCGGCACAGTCAACTACGGGGGTGGAAAACCACTCGGGCACTCGCTTGGACCTGAAACCCTGAGTGCTATCTTTTAGCTCGCACGAAAATGCAGCACCGACAGGTGTCTTTTTGCGCACTTCTGAAGCTTTAACTGGAGACCCGCTAGGATCTGCGCAGCCTTAAAAACACCAGTCAAATTCACAAGGGCTTGAAGATCCCGAAGAGACACCCTGACGTCACCCGCGCAAACGCCAAACTCCGCCCCGGGGAAAATAGTCAGCCTCTTGCGCAGATCACGAATTATCGGAGCCATGCAAAGGGCCCACATTGCGCCACTAAGTGGGCTTGCATCGCGCCCGACTCAATGAAGCAAAAGTAGAAACAGAGGCCTTGCAAAGCTGCAGAAGCGGCTGCGAATGAATAAGTGGCACGAGTGAAATGCTGAAAACCGAGAGGGAGATTGATGAGCTCAAGCAGAAGCCAGAGAAAGAGATGACAGAGGGAGGGGAATGCATTTCCAAAGTCAAGCAGGAGCGGAGCAGGAAGCTTCTCCTGCACGGCAGGCTGCATGCTGGCTATCCGCGCAGACGTGTTGAGGAGGGTCACGTTATCTAGAAAGTTCCGTTGAGCTAGAAAGCCTCTCTGGTCTGGGTGTGAGTCGCGCGTGAGAACCGGCTTGAGGGAGTAATTACACGTCGAGGGAGGAATCTTGGCATCTGCACGCGTGAGTGCCAATGGCCTCGCGGCAGCAGGCTCACGGAGAACAAACGAAGAGTCTTCTGCGCGACGACCCTTAGGGGCAAGCACCAGAAGCAACTCAGTCAGCTCTACGGGCGGGGATGTAAATCGAAAAGAACACGGCCAAGCGGCGTGAGGGAACCCGTCTGGGCCTGGGGCAGTCGGCGAGGCACAGTCTATCGCGGGCACAATTATCTCCTGCATCGGGGGCGAGACCTCAGACCAGTCCATGGGCTCAACGTGCTTCTCTAAGCTCAAGATGCCCGAGCGGGTCCGATTTCGACGCAACAACTGGGGCCCACTGGCCTCGAAGGGCCCAGGCCATGTCCGAGGGGGGGGCGAGGGGGGCACCAGAGGAGGGGCCCTCGAGGCCCCGGAGCGGGGGAGTATTACCCCTCGGAGCCCGAAGTTCCCCCCTGCGTCTCTCAGCCCCCACGCATGCTCGAAGGCGCTTCTTCTCGTGAAATGGGATGTGTTCCGCGCGGAGCTGACAGTGCGCAGCCTCGATTCGTGCATCCTGAATCTCACGCCTCAACTGCTCGCATTGACGACGAAAGTCCACGGGGGCCAGCAGCGAGACCGCGGAGGACACCACGTCGAGCACCATGTGATCTTTAGCAATAGGCGTGCGAGTGAGCAGCATTGAAGCAAGCTTCTCCACGTCAAAATGGACCGCTCGAGAAATCAAGCGAAAAATGATCACACGAGCCTCCAGAAGGGGGGGTCGCAGAGCGGGTCAGCTTGTCGCGGGCAAGTCGCGCGGCCTCCCTCATCAACCTCTTGAGCTCCCGCCACTTGGGAATGGGCGATCGCCTCTCCAATTCCGACTGGCTGATCAGCAACTGGAGCATCTCCTGGAGCTCCCTGGTTTTGCAATGAAAGGCAGGAACAGCTTGCTGATCTCGGAGGCGTTGAGGTCGTCCACGAAGGTGATGGAGACTGGGGCATGATCAGAAATGCCAGCTTCACACAGGCGTTCAGGTTCTGTCATAACAGCCGCAGTGAGATCCGACTGCAATGTCACCCATTGAGGCGTATATGTGGGAGACCTTGTCAAGAGCCGTTCACGTGTGTTCGTCAGCTATGCAATGCGTCGGCTTTTCAGGTCGAGCTCCGCAAGGTCCGAGAGGGTGAGCCACCAAGAGGCACTATGCTCACGCTGCCGAGGTTGCACAACAAGACCTTTGTCTATCTCTGGAACATGGAGATACATGGGCGCCCCGACCGTGAAATTGAAGCCCCCCAGAACTAGCACTGTGACCCTTTCTGGGCATTGAGCAGCGATTTGAGTCTCAGCAGCTATCCGGGCTGTCGGGGTATCCACCTGTTCCGAAGAGAGACCAAACTTGGGAATGTTGTATCAGACTAGCAACCCATGCTCTTGACATCCTTGTTCAGGGATGGAGTTGATCGCAAGACGCTGAGCACGACCAGGTATTAGCTCCGAATATATGATACGTTCTTCATCCACACCTTCTTGAAAGCGAGTTGTTGTAATTATCGGGAGAAGCATGGCTACGCCACCAGCCGCGTGGGAGGGAATGGGCGCCACCATGTCGTAGTCGAACCTGCGCTGGTAGAGTTGAAATTCGAGTTCAGCCTGAGGGCCATGAACCTCCTGCAGAGCAACAGTGGCATGATTGCGAGAAAACTCGCGGAGTTTGTCACACTTCTTTTTTCCCATGTCAGGCTGATGGTCAAGGAGAGCACGTGTGTTCCAAGTGCCGATCGCAATGTCTCTGTTGATGTTGCTGGGGATGTCTTGCCATACATTCATGGTGCGGCGAAATACGCCACTGGACTTGGTCTTCCATCGCATAACAGCGAGCAGCGAAAGCTTCCTGCACCGCTTTCTGGCCCACCTTCCTCGCATTCGCAGACCCGTAGTTCCACAGAAGACGCGAACAT